AAATTGAATAGGTTTCAAATTTAATCAGATTTCGACTTTAAACTGATCTCAAGTTTTTAACTATAATAAAAATCTCGTATTTAAATCTTTACTCTATAATTTTGAACTAACGAATATCACGAAAGATACCCCTTTTAGACCATTATCTATCAACAAAATTTAACCTTTGAATTATGTACTGGGGATACTTATTTGAGTAGGAATGCTTAAATATCATGTTTCATAAATGTTTGATATAAGCAAAATATTTTAACGCACCATATTTTAGTGGAAAGATTATTGACAACTCAATTTAACAATATTTCTGCTGGGAGTATTTTTAACTGCGCAAATACATCCTCTGTGAGTAGAAAGCAAAATCTTCCAAAGGATCATTCAGTGAATGAAGGCTCAAGACGAAGAAATGAAGACTCACCCAGAACTATGATCTCTTGCGTTGATCTTGACATATTGTGGCTATTAGAGGCCAAGCATGCATAAGTTCCGTTATCTTTCCTCTTCAATGCATCAATCATTACTGATTCCAGGACAACTACATCGCTGACCTGTGTGGTCTGGATGTCCACTCGACCCTTTTCTACTTTCAGTGGTTGACCATCCTTCTCCCATTGAATGTTGGCCCGGGGGAAGGCCGTCACTAAACATTGTAATTGGACTTTGGTGTTAGCTGGCTGAGCAGTGTTGTTTTTTAGAATCTCAATCAAAATGGGAACTGTAAAAATAAAATAAAAATAACATGAAATCATATAACAGCCCAGGCGTTGATAAGCAATTAAATGAAACTGACACTTTTTAGACTTTTCCGTTTTATTCCTCTAAATTGAAGTGAAAGAGAGCTTTCGCAATATTGCAAGACGGCTCTTCAGTTCCTAAATGAAACTGAATATTTCCAATATCTCACGAGAAACAAGTCCATGGTATATTTTTAATCCTTGGAATACTTATCAACGAGATTGGTTGAGAGACTAATATGAGACAAAAGCTAATACTACTTTTTTCTATTTGGAATTTTAGACTTTTCTTTGAAATTATTGTTTCATTTAAGTTTACAAATCAAATCCGTTTCATTTCGTTCCTTATTAGGGTGAATCGAATATTTTATTAGAACACAAATATCCTTTTATCAGCACATGTTTAACTCTAATTAAAACTTTGCTGTGTGAAGATAGTCACTGAGCAATAAAAATATCATACTTCTATAATTAATGATCAGTTAGTGGATTCTTTACATGGTGGCTTTGGACTGCCATTTGCAAGAATGACCACGGACGTTATTGCCACATAAACTGCCACATTTAAAATAAAACCGACGAAACTAGCACAGGTGGACCTGTCTTTTTCAGGATAAATTAGATGTGGCTACTGAGACGCTTTTGCTCAGGAACCGCAACGGGGGTTCTTAAAGTTATATCTTTAACTGCACAGATTAGGTTTCTATTTGAAACGATACGTTGATTTTGTTTTTCTCAAATTCTACGTAGAGTGTTAAACATAAATGAAGTTATTAATCATATCCCAATTTCTAAATGTGTTTTCAGGTCCGTTAATAAAAATATGCACTAAGATCAGTGTAATTTGGGAATTATCATAAGGCTATAAATGTTTGAATGGGTATAAGTAGCCAGACAGATCTAAGTGTTGAAAATAAAATATGTCATAAGGCAAATAGTAACACCTTTAATAACACATTCATGTACCTTCCTAACACCTTCTTTAGAGATTAACCACTTTAGTGGATTCAACCATTTTAGAAGCCTTATATGTGCCACCACCATAGAAAATACTGTCAGTTTCATGCAGCTACTGTTATACAGCTAAAATGAAATCGATAGACTTCCCTATTCGAAACCGAGATTCAATTGGTACGAGCACATTTTCACTACATACACGCACTGTGCTCGCGAAATATACTACACCTTTCCTTGCTTTTAATCAATGGTTGAAGCCTAATTGCAGGAAGGGAATTTTTTCATATATCGTACAAAAATAATTCAAGAAACTTACTAGTACATAACATGATTTTAACAAACATTTCGTAATACAAATTTTCTTGAGTGAGTAATTAAAAGGTGCGTGACTTCGTTTACTCCTTACACTCAAATAATAGAGGAAAATTTACATATTTATTGCACAAATACAACTAGAGCTGAGTGAATGAAAACAGTATAAGTTAATTTCACTGTTTTTGAATTATTATCAATAAATATTTTACACATATACAGAGAAACGACAAGGAAGAATGACAGAAGACAAACAGTATAGATTGACTATAGATAAATGAATTTGCCGACTAAATCGGTTAACTTCAACGAATGACGATGTTAGGCATATATTTTATGTATAATAACATTACAGCACATAATAATTGTTCATTAATCGCAGGGTGTCGGGAATTAATGAGGCAAGGAATGTTGCCTATTTGTATGCAAGTTTATGTGGTTCTTTGATCAACAGGTAGATCAAGAAAGCAAAGGCGTACATGTTGTACAGTCCCCAAACCCAACAAGTGTATAATGTAGACGTAAAACACTTTAGATCCAACTATCAAGCCTAACAAATGATAAATAGCATTATACAAATATTACTTGTAAACGTAGATGAACCAAAGGAAATGAATATCTCGAAAAAGCCTTATGAATATAGAAAACACAAACTCACTATTTTATGGAGTTGATTAAGCTGATAATATTGATGATTAACCCTTCGTTTGGGGCTTGTGTAAATCTGCCTACCACCCCACGCGCAAAGATTCACGAATTTTTGCGCCGGGCAATTCAAAATGTTACGTGCAAACTTCTTGCATCATATGATATCAACCACGGTCGCCTACGCTAACATCATATGATGTCAACCGCAGTTGAAAGGTTAATTTTTTTAGTTCTTGGAATTATTTCATTAAAAATCTCCCCATGGACCCAATGAACCTCCAGACCAATTTTGGTGAAGATCCATCCATATCCTGCCAAGTAGTTAATGGACATACAACAGACAGTAATATTATATTTATACAGACTAGCTGGAGTACCCGTCCCCTGGACGGAAGTTATGTAAATTCATGATTATTGAAAGGTTATCTTAGGACATGAAAAGTTGCTTCCCTTATAAGTCATTCTAAGAAACGTTCATAAAAACAGGAAAACACAAAATGTGAAATCGCAACTTTGCGTGTATCTCCGCGTAGACCCAACAAACCTTCATGCCAAATTTGGTGAAGATCCATCAACAGGGGGCGAAGTAGTGGTAAAAAACGACCATAAAAGCCGCAAAACGAAAAATGCGAAACTGAAACTTTGTATGTACCCTCGCATGGACCTAATGAATCTCCATACCAATTTTGGTGAAGATCCATCCACATCCTGCGAAGTAGTTATATGGAGAGAAAACAGATAGTACTGTTATATTTATATAGATTCACCCACTTAGAAACATGCATTTTTGAACTTAAATTCTTTCGTTAGACGTGATATGTAAATCAAACTAGTTTTATATGATGGAATCTTAGGCCCGGCATGGCCAGGTGGATAAGGCACTCGACTCGCAATCTGAGGGTCGCGGGTTCGAATCCCCGTCCCACCAAACATGATCGTCCTTTCAGCCGTGGGGGCGTTATAATGAGACGGTCAATCCCACTATTCGTTGGTAAAAGAGTAGCCCAAGAGTTGGCGGTGGGTGGTGATGACTAGCTGCCTTCCCTCTAGTCTTACACTGCTAAATTAGGGACGGCTAGCGCAGATAGCCCTCGTGTAGCTTTGCACGAAATAAAAAAACAAACAAAAACAAACATGATGGAATGCTTGAAGTTTTGCCGATTTATTTATATGTTCATGCCTTCTTCTTCGAGAAATAGATTATATATTAGTTGCAGAATTATCTTTATGTATAAGTTATAGTGAATGAACATTGAGTACGGCACAGGACCTAGCTGCTGCTAATAGCTTTTGGAGAGATTGAGAGGCATCCTTCCCCTTCTTGTCGGCTTGGGGTAGCACCCTGGGCAAGTGCCAGCAGGCTCGGCGCCCCCGAACTAGGTATATGGGGAAACCATTGACGAAGCAGGAGTGGATTACCTTGTCTTGTGGAAGATTGGTTTAACTGAGTAAACAGCAAAGAAGGCATGCTCTAGTTAGTTTTGAGTACTGCAACCGGCAGCATAAGTGCTGTTAGTTACGTACAGCCACTGGTCTAGAAGGTCACTTCAAAATAAAATCCGAATTGTTCTTCCGCCAACCGTTATGCCGTGGCATTCTGTTGGACCTCGGAAGCTCAAATTGAGGGTGCATCTACAACTCGCGACTGTTCCTGCACTTTAAGCACTAGCCAAGGCTGGGAATGAGAAGGAAGTTTGCGTTGATGGATTCTTCCTCTCCTCTATGCCATCTTCGATTATCGAAAGACCACCGACAAGTTAATGAACGTGTTCTGCCTGGGAGCCATTAGTTGGTCATCTGCACATACGCGGTTTGAGTGTGATGGCCATGGATTGACGTGAGAGACGGGTAAACATAGTCCACTTAACCTAACCTGACTACCACACAGAGCGAGCCTCAAATTTTGTGGTCGAGTAAAGTATGTAAACACTCGATGACCCACTAACTTTGGAAGAACTTGTGAAGGCAATGAAAATGATTAAATCTGGAGGAAAAGCACTGGGCTTGAATGGTCGACCTGCCGAAATGTTGAAAAGTGGAGGACTAGTATTTAAACTAGAATTGTTGTACCTTTTGGAACGACGTTGGCAAGCTGGCAAACTACATTAGGAGTTCAAATATGCCCAATTGTAACGTAAAGAGGATCAACACGACCGTGGGAATTACCGAGGTATTTCATTCCTATGAATCCAGGAAAAATTCTGACTAAAATACTACTTCGACGCTACAAACAATTCCCGAACGCATATTACCAGAAAGCCAATACAGTTTTCGAACGAACAGAAATATGACCAATATGATCTTCTCCTTATGGCAAATTTGGAAAAAATGTATCGAAATACAGGAGTGGATTACCTTGTCTTGTGGAAGATTGGTTTAACTGAGTCGTGTCTGTCGATTTCACCAAAGCTTTTGACAGTGCATTGCTCGCTAAAGTTGGATGTCCCAGGAAATTTGTTGCAATTTTTCGCCAGGTATAACACGGGAGTGCCACATAGGAAGCTTTCCCAATATCACATGGTGTCAAACAAGGTTGTGTAATGGCTCCGATGTTATTCACTCCATTTTTTATAGCTGTTATTTTGGATCGTGCATTTGCTGATGGAATTTACATCCGCACAAAAATCTACAGCGGTCTTTTCAATCTCGCAAGACTGAGGACTCGCACTAAGACTATGGACATCTGTGTCAGAGAGTTGCTGTTTGCTGATGATGCGGCGTTTGTATCTAATTCGATTAATGGTCTGCAGACTATCCTAGATCACTTTTCCAGAGTATCTGCTACTTTCGGACTAACAATTGACATCAAAAAGACCAAAGTCCTCCATCAGCCATCACCTAACTCTCACTATGTAGAGTCTACTGTTCTTTTCTCTGGCAACAAGCTAAAAATCGTTAACCAGTTAACTTAGTTCGGTAGTACAGTTGTTAAGTTGCTAACGACATCAGCCTCGATGCAGAGCTTGACCACAGGATCCAAGTGGCATCTACCTGTTTCGGGCAATTATATGAAAGGGTCTGGAAACAGCGTAGTATACGACCAACAACTAAGTGCAAATTATAT